AAAAAAAAATAGAAACCACTCACTATAATGTAGTCACAACAATCACACATCACATTTAACTACCTTAGTGTTAAACAGGCAATTGAATTTCCAATGTCACCAAAAACTAAACATCATAAAATTGGTAAATGGAAGAATTTAAGGCAGAGCTGTTGTATTGAATTGCTATAGATTATACAGGTGTACCTAATAAAGTAGACATTGAGTGTATATTCGTATTGGACATTGAATAATGGGAAGAATGGGACTGTGTCTTCAGGCTGACCACTAAATGTAGTTTGGTAAATCTTTGTGGTTGGTGAAATAAGTGGAAGTCTAAACAGTATTGTATTATGTGGGGTAAACTAAACTATAAAGAGTTTAACATGTATGTATCTACTTATTTTATTGATAATGCCATATGATTTTGTTATGTGACAACTGAATATAAGTTTTCCAACTAAATCTTCAAGTAAAACCTAAAGAAATTTTACAGATGAGAAACAGATGATGATGCAGAAACCAAGTCATTAATGTAGATTGGTAACAAAAAGGGTCCACAAACAGAACCCTGAGGGATGCCACAACTAACTTCCATCCATTTACAAATAGTTTGATTGTATATCCAAAGGTTGGGAATTTGTGCTGTTCTAGTGGCAACATTATGGGCAAGTCAGGTGGGTTAACATTTTTGCATGTACCATGAACCCGCCAATCTGTCTTTTATCCTTCCAGGAATCTACCGCGTGCAATCTTCATCTCTATCCCCGTGGTCACCTTCGTTTACGTGTTTGCCAACGTGGCCTACGTCACAGCCATGAGCCCACAAGAGCTGCTGGCCTCCAATGCTGTGGCAGTGGTGAGAAAAAGACTTGCGATAACTCAAACCTGAATGTGTGTGTGTGGGTTAGGCATGTAGAGAATGAAGCTTATCAGTCTTTGAAGGGGAGTATTTGTGTTGTCCAGCAGCCATTTAGAGTAACCACGTTGATCTGATGCATGCTCCTCACTGTAGCATAATGCTTGAAACTTGTCTGTCGCCCCCGTTTGCACTGCATTTCAAAATGTCCTGTTTAGTCGCTGTTATTTAAGTACATGTTTCAACTTTGTACTTGCTTTCTCCTCCATGTCTTCTCTCTCTACTCCTAATATTTCTCCCAGACCTTTGGAGAGAAATTGCTAGGAGTAATGTCATGGATCATGCCCATATCTGTGGCGCTCTCCACCTTCGGGGGGGTCAATGGCTCCCTCTTCACGTCGTCGCGGTCAGTTTGTCCTCTCCCCATGGTCCTCCCTTTCTTCTCATTCCAGCTTCTGTGGTCGCCGTGCTTTTGTTTTGAAGTGTACTTTTGTTTCCCATTGTGATATTTGTGCCCATACCTGAAGATGTACGTGAAGAAGCGGGGGTAAGCAGGGTAAAAATGAGAGGCTCAACAGGAATAAAATGCATTAGCAGTGCAAATGCAGATTATAGCAAAAGGGCCTCAATAGAAAACTGCATTCCTCTGTGTGCATATTTGACTTTCACTAAGATGATGGTGACTAATTTCACTATCATCTTCAACCACTATCAACCCCCTGTGCTCCTGTTTTGGTCCATTTTTCACTTCTGCCATTTCCCCCTGCACTGGTGCTTCCATAATGACCTGACCTATGTGCACACGGTTAGCACCAGCTGGCTCTGCTCTCAGGACTTCACTGTCTGTGGTTCTGTCTTTCAGGCTGTTTTTCGCTGGAGCGAGGGAAGGCCATCTCCCACGTCTGCTGGCCATGATTCACGTGCAACGCTGCACTCCTATCCCAGCCTTACTGTTTACTGTGAGTCCTAGCAAAAACACAAGCTCTGCTCTTTGTCCTTACAGTGGCCTCTGTCCTCACATTCTACTCTCACCACATTTAGGTGATCTCCACTCTGCTGATGTTGTGCACCAGCGACATTTACACCCTCATAAACTACGTGGGATTTATCAACTACCTCTTCTATGGTGTCACTGTCGCCGGGCAGATTGTGCTGCGCATCAAAGAGCCTGACATGTACCGACCCATCAAGGTAAAGAGACAGACAGAACAACTTCATGTGGACCCAACATGCATAACATTTAGATTGCCTTAACACAGAAGCAACACAAACGTTTAAAACCTTTTAGATACTGGTGTATATTCCACAAGCCCTATACAATATATCCTGTTTATTGCCACTGTTTTTACAAGGCTGCAGAGATCATTTTGACCACATGTGACTTTATTTTGTGTGTACTTTGAACACCCATTTTATGTCAGCATGCTGAAATATGCTGTATAGATATTTGAGGTTTTACAACACCAACCCCTGATCTTCCAGGTGAGCCTGATATGGCCAGTGATCTACCTGCTGTTCTGGGCCTTCCTGCTGGTCTTTTCGCTCTACTCTGAGCCAGTGGTCTGTGGTATTGGTCTGGCCATCATGATGACTGGTGTCCCTGTGTATTTCCTGGGAGTCTACTGGGAAAACAAGCCACAGTGTTGTGATATTACTATTGGTAAGGCAACATCATGGTGTCTTGCATAAAAGATCTCAAGACTTTAAGGTTGAAAATGTTGTTTGAATTCTGAGATTCCTGCAAACTTATCGTATCGTCTATGCAGTAAAGGTACAGGATTCATAAAATGTTAACCCAGTTTGACACAGAAACTAATTACAGAATGGTACAGGGTATATTAATTAGGATAAATGCCAACAAATGTCATTGAAATGAAGAATTTCCATGTTTGAACCGTTAATCCTAATTAATTCCCTGGCCTCTCTTCATCCCCAACTATATCCAGGTAAAATGACTCATCTGTGCCAAAAGCTCTGCTCAGTGGTCTACCCAGTCATGGAGGAGAACCAGGAGCCCACTGGGCCTCAAAAGAACGATGAAGATGGGGAAGAGGGAAAAGGCCTTCAAACAGCTGACCAAACACGTGCATAAACAAGAACCGACAATGTCTCCCACTCTGTTTGGGGAGGTTTCATACATATTCACCTGTTCTACAACACTGGACTTTCTTGCTCTGTTTGTGACTGGCCTTAATTCTGACCATTGTTTCGGTGTGCAGTCTGGGAACAGGTGTTTGAGGTGAAATTCTACTTACTCTGAATTTATGAAACACTGAACTTATGAAACACCATGTTTTTTTGTTTTTTTTTGTTTTTCACCTTCACATTTGTTCCTATTGTTTGTCTACAGTTTGTTGTTTGTGTGTGGGAGGTAGTGGAAACATTTTAATATGCCAGTTGTATGCATTGTTAAAGCTCTGTTTATAGGATCACCTCACTGTAGTAACACTAAAATGAATTGTTTTTTCAGATGGTTTAATGTTTTTTTTTATTCTCCTTTGATTAATTACATCTCTGTCAAACTACATTAATAATTTATTTAAAAGTTCCCTTGTTCTGTTCAGCAGAATGGATTAGTTCACATTTAGTCCTGTGCATATGAAGTGCTAAATCTTTTCCTAAATTTTTAAAAAAAATAAATCTTCCATCCTTGCAGTTCCTGAATTTTCTTATGATAGAAAATCCAATATTCCTAAAATGTCCCCACAGTATATCTGCAGTGGAAGTTATTTTATCACCTGAATTGTGTTTTTCACAGTTGGTACCTGTCAGAAGGGATATTAAGATGCCCAGTTCTCTTCAAGTCTCTCCCTGTGTTGTATTGTACTGCATATACTGCAGTGGTATAGTGCTGCCTGCTGCACCTCCTCATCAATGTTTCATCCACCTGTTGGAACACCTGACGTAGAAGGGGCGGGGTCCACGCACAATGAGCGATCAAATTGCGGAAGTCATGGACTGGTATGACGAGCCTTGTGGGTCAAGATGTCAATCACCCTAAATAAAACGGGGAAACTAGACGAATTTGTCTTCAAAATAAAAGCCTGAGTATCCGCGTGCTCAAATAATGCCATTATAATACTAATGACATTTTGGAAACTGAAATGACTATCAAAAGTAGCCCTCAAAGATTATGTTAGTACTTTACAATTTTCTACACAAGTTATCTCTTTCATCTGCTGATGAAGACCATACGATGTACCTGAAAGCTCTGGAAAAGGTAGTACTGGACCTTGAGTTAATATAATTGGGTCAAATCTGACTTCAGAGTCCCTGGAGTGATTGGCCCTTTTCAGTGTGGACAGCAGGCAGAGCACAGGTGTAATTAATAACATTAATGAGGGCTTTGGTGCTGGGTGTACATATTTTTGACTCCTTGGTGATGTTTCTGGAGACTGGTTTTCATGACCACAAGAGGAGCTACATCCTGCATAAATCATACATGTTGGGCTTTTGAAGATTGATTTCAGTCCGTGTTATACTAAATTGTGCAATTTAGTATTTACCATTCACAAAGACATTTTGATATGTCACAGTAGGAAAAGCATGTCAATAATAGAATTAATGATGGCTGAATTCTGTTTAGCTGCTTCAGTTTCAGGGCCCTGGTAATCCCGGTGTTATTCCTGTTGTCTCCCTGTCACAGCTTACTGAGACACCAGAGCAGAGCCATCCTTAATGCTGTTAGTAAAACCTGTGCTTTTCCTGCTATGATAAACAAAATGTCTGTATGCCCAGCAGTAAAGGGAATTTAAAGCACTGTTAGGCATTTGTGTAGGAAAATGAATATAACAGAAAATATAGTTAACCAAATAAATGGATAAAAAAATAGTATATTAAACAGTATGCAGCTTTAGATATACAGCTACAGCAATACCCTACAGTGCCCTAGAACTCTCATACCTAAATGAAAAGTAACCACAATTAATGTTATTACTTGCAGCTGTGCTTTTCCTGCTATAACACATCAACAACGCCTCACATGAAAAATCCTGTGTGATGATATCTCGAGGCAACGCCCTTATATTTTCTGATTTTAACAGAAATCTTACCGATTTGATATGATAAAAAAAAATAATGCTAATAAATAATATTCCCAAATGCTAAATGCATCACCCAGGTTTTATTTTGAAAGGTGTGACAGGAAGTCGTGTGATTCCTTTCGGCTCCGTTGACACTTTATGGATACACAGCAGGGTTTGGGTTTCCAGCCAACTGACTGCTGCCGTGTACTGGAGGGGGTTCGGCTGAACCGGTTCACTTTTTAAATACTGGAGACTCTGTGTGCAGCGTTGAGGTACGTTGTTGCTCTGGAGCTCAAAGCATTCACACAAACAGCCGGTAATGCTAACTTAGCTAGCTCTTTAGCTCGACAGTCTCCCACTGAGCAGGCTTGACAGCATCTGCGAGGTTAGCTGTGTGCGGTCAGTTGGCTAGCCCCGGCTCATTTCACTGACCTGCATCATCGACCGGGGGACGGCCATGCTAACTTGGTAGTTCACTCGTTAATTCAAATGTAGTTTTAATATCAGTGTAACGTTAAATAGTGACAGTAACTTTCCATTAAGCCGGCTCTAGGAGTAAATACCGCTACTACAGCAAGCTGTCATCAGAAACAACAGTCAGCTTACCTGACTTGTCACATAGTTGGAGTTGTTCGAGCTGTTTTTGAACTGTGCACTACTGTAGTTGTGTGTTTTAGCGAGAGGACAGCTCTTCTGAAGGTGTATTATAGTGTAGTAACAGCTTTGTCACAGCTTACACACATCTGGAGCCTTTTCACAAACAGGAAGTGAAATCAAGCACACCACAACTCTGCATAGTGAAGTGGTTTGTTCTCTGTTAATGTTGTATTTTAACATGTCCATGACACACACACACACACACACACACACACGCATACACACACGCACCACACAGCCATGTCTCCATCAGTGCCCCTACAGGAGATGATCCGGGCCATCAGGTCAGCAAGGACGCAGTGTGAGGAGCGGGGTGTCATCCAGAGGGAGTGTGCAGCCATCCGGGCACAGTTCAGACAATCGGACAATGGAGGGCGATCGCACAACCTGGCCAAGCTGCTCTACGTGCACATGTTGGGCTACCCCGCTCACTTTGGTCAGGTGAGGGGATTTGGCTAATGCCTGTCATGGGTTCGCTTGGGTAAATGGGGTTAGCAGGGTGGGAAACCATCATGTAGCTGGAAGTTCATGGTTGAATACAGTCCCAGTGTCCGACTGCGATGTCCTAACCGCTGACCCCTTACATTAACTGTGTGCTCATGACAGAGCTCAAAATACGAAGATAAATGCACACTGGGGAATCACATGCTAAATATACAAATCTTCATTGATATTAGTAATGTTGCTGCTATGTGAATGTCATTACAACACTGTGGATTGTTATCATTCCCTCAAGCAACGTGTGCAGCATAGAAAACCCCTGTCAAGAAGAACAGGCCACTGAATCCCTCCCAGCTCCAGGGCTGCTGCTCTGACGCTGCGCTTGACCTCCACTTAGAGCTGGCAAAGAGCAGAACATTTCCTCAGGGGCATCAGTAGTGTCAGTATTAGTAGTAACCTCACATTTAATGGAGTTGTTGGTTTTCCTACTAGATGGAGTGTGTTCGGATGATAGCCAGCCCTCGCTACAGCGAGAAGCGCGTAGGATATCTGGGGGCCATGATGCTGCTGGATGAGAAGCAGGATGCCAGCCTGCTCATCACCAACTCCATCAAGAAGTAAGGACAGACACTTGAACTTTAAATCTCATTAAAATAGAATAAATGTTAGATTTTTTTGTGCACACTTTATTTTAACCCCTGTATTTAGCATTTAGCATTCATATGCAATTAAAGGGGAGCTCCACGGATTTTACACATCAAAGTCTGTTTACAGATGTTAGTGAGTACTACTGTATGTGTGACAGAAGTTATATAAAGCTTAAAGTGGCTCCAAAGAGCTGTGCAAACTTGCCTCAAGTGATGTCACTTGAGTTGGACCAGACAGAAGTCTCTAGCGCCTCGAGGCTACATCAACTACTACTAGCACACCTGAATCTCCAACCAAGCTGTTGGTGGTTGAGTTGTATTGTGGGTAATGTAGGCATGCATGGGATACAATAGATCATATCTCTGCTTCTGCTGCGTCTATTTTAATCCTGTCCGACTGTCCATTGTGAGTTTGACAATGTTGTTGGAGTGCAGTGATAAATCTGTGGGGTACTAGTTTAATAAACACTTGATTAGTGACTAATAATGCATTATAATAGAGTTGTAGTCAAATCTATAGATTTGGAATTATTGAAAGTTAGAAAACCATTTATATACCGCTTATGAATGAGTTTTCTGTGTTATCTGTTAAATTCTAGAAGACTACCTGTAAAAGATCAATAACTGGTATCTTCCCATTGGTGTATGTCACAATCATATCTTAGACAATAGTTAATTGTCATAATTGACAATAGGACACTTCATCAGAATCAATAGCGTTTTTTGCCAAGTAGGTTTTTACATACAAGGAACTTGCCTTGGTAAGTTGGTGCGTAACAATTAAGCATAGATGTAAACTGAGTGATCACAGGAGACAAAAGGAGGAGCTAAATATAAGAAAAGAGAATCAGGACGTCAAATAGTATACAGAATGGAGTATATTTACATTTGATTTCAGTATAATGCTTTGCACCCAGTAATACACACAGATCAGATATACAATGTCATTTCTGTGTTTTCTCTGTGTGTGTGTGTGTGTGTGTGTGTGTGTGTGTGCGTGTGTGTGTTTTCCAGTGACCTTTCTCACAGTAACCAGTATGTGCAGTCTCTGGCTCTGTGCACGCTGGCCTGTATGGGTTCAGCTGAGATGTGCAGAGATCTGGCACCAGAGATTGATAGGCTGCTCCGAGCCTCCAACTCCTACATAAAGAAGAAGGTGGGGACCTCCACTTTAGGCAGCACTTAATAATATTTATGGTACCACCAATTTAATCAGAGCGTAAAAGAAATTCTGTACTAATCATACAGTACAATAAATACTGTATTTAAGAGCCAGTGTTTCACCTCTTATCAAGACAAACAACATTAAAAATTGTTACAAATGTCACAAATGACTAAAACATGTGGTTCATTTAAAAGGTGCTAGGATTTATTATGTCCTGCTGTTTACTAGTGTTTGGATAATGTCTTATCCATTTATGGTCCATTGGTGCAGTTAGATCTGACTATCTCAGTATGATGTATTGGATGGTTTGTGGCCTATTTAAAGCAGCTGATGTACACTTTAATCCTTTGTCAGACTCAATAACAGCAATAAAACTGTCACCTGGTCAGTGTAGCGATGCTTTAATGCTGCTGATGACTTGCCCCGTTGTTCTTCCAGGCTGCTCTGTGTGCTGTTCACATTGTGAGAAAGGTTCATGATCTGGGGGAGCTTTTCACCCCTGCAGCTCGGTCCCTCCTTGCTGAGAAGAACCACGGTCAGTTGATCAACCTTTAGAACGTAGTAATAAGTTTACCGGTTAGTTTCATGTTGTCTCAGCTTGTCATGCAAGTAGCCAATTACTCTTCAGTGTTTTTTTTGCTGTGTTTACCTGTAGGTGTGTTACATGGTGCTGTGGTACTCATCACCGAGCTGTGTGAGAGGAATCCAGAGACACTGGAGCGGTTCAGAAAGGTACGAGGGGCACAAACACACACACTTGACAATGGATCTGATATGTTCTGTGTCTCTACGCTCGCTGTATCTGTCTCTCTGTTGTAATGTGTTTGTGCTGTGTGTATCTCAGACAGTGCCAGATCTGGTTCAGATCATGAAAGGTCTGGTCATTTCGGGTTATTCTCCAGAGCACGATGTGGCAGGAATCAGTGATCCCTTCCTACAGGTCAGTCTGGACTCCACTGCATCATATCACATCCTTCTGTTTAGTTTAGGTAATTAAGTTTAACGGATGCTTTACTGGCTTGGCGCTGGAATTCTGCACTACATCCCAATTTACTATAGAGCAATAACATTAACATTGGAGACATCTTAGCTGTTGTTATAAATCGTATGGTATATTATCAATTTTCCTGAATTTGTGACAACAAGCAGCAGATTTTTATAGTATTTCAATGTGAACAAAAACATTTGAACACTTGGGTGATTTATTAATGTCTTAGACTTATTATGTGAAATGAAGTCTCACTGTTCTTTCTTTATGGCTCAGATACATTCTTAAATGTGTGTGTCAGGACTAATAATTAGTTTTTCTTATTTTCATAATGACACACACACAGATTTATCCTCTCATCCTCCCTCCTATTTTTGTTGATGCAGTGTACCAAAATAACTTAGTATTCCATCTGTTCACTCTCTCCATCCTCAGGTACGCATCTTGAGGTTGCTGAGGATTCTCGGTCACCATAACGAGGCAGCCAGTGACGCTATGAACGACCTACTAGCTCAGGTCCAGTGTTCACTTTCATATACACAAATACCTGAATATCGACCTTTTTGTTAATTTTTGTGTTCTTCTAAAGAAGTTATCCACTGCAACATTATCTACTTCCCAACTGTTGTTGGTTTAGTTTTGTGTAGGTGACGCTTCTTTGGCTCTATATTAAACTGGGTGACTGACTACCCAGTCACTCCCTGTGTGCCAGAATATGTTTCTCCAGAAAGACTTACCCTAAACTGGGTGGTGAAAACAGCAAACATAAAAGACTGAATAACAAAACGTATTCTTATTTAAAAATGTCACAAATCTTTAAGATATGGTCTGAATAAATTCATGTATGTGTATATGACTAACTTACTGACGTGTTTTTGGCTTGCAGGTGGCGACCAACACTGACAGCACTAAGACTGTGGGCAACGCTGTGCTGTACGAGACTGTTCTCACTGTGCTGGACATCAAGTCAGAGAGCGGCCTCAGGGTCAGCACTTCTTACTGTGTTCAACCACATTAATATCATGGGGAATAATGTGACCAGAATAACCATAAATGCACACACGCTTCACTTCACTTGTGCCTCAGGTTCTGGCTGTGAACATCCTGGGAAGATTTCTTCTGAACAATGACAGGAATATTCGGTTAGTGCTGTGTTATTCTCCCTTCCATTCCTTCCTCCCCATTTTCCTGTTTCTCTTTCTATCTCTTCCCCCATCTTTTCCTTCCTTCCTCTCTTATCTCTCTGCGTCATTTTACCATTTCCATTCCACAAGGCCAACGGCAAACTCACTGCAGCCAGACAAAAACTTCCCAACTGGCTGTTACCAGTCTGAGCTCACTAATCACTTTCTCTGGAGACATTCCTCCAGAGCCACACCAGAAGGTCACTGTCTGCCTGGTAATGCTGAGCTCTTCATTTTGGGCCATGACATTTTTCATTAGGAACTGTGGCGGTTACAGGTTCCTTGGGGTTTTGTTGTGTTACTATTTTTTGGGTTTGTCTCCATTGAGGCCATGTGGCCAGGCAGGACTGTCTGGTTTTTACATGCGGGGCCCCTGAATCTCACTGTGGCTGTGTGACAGTAATAGGACTGGTTTATTCCTGCGAGCCTTGCCCGGCTAGATAACATCTCTCCTGTGCTCACATAAATACTTTATTAGTTCATGAGACATTCCAAGTGGAAAGATGAATTATTTATCATGCCAAGTTAAGAAAGTTACATTTGTACAACACTGTCAATCAATATGGATTGTTAGCTCATAGTTAGAAATTGGTATTAACACAAGTTCTTCTTCTTCTTATTATTATTATTTATTTGTTAAATATATTGTGCAACACTATACGCTCATAAATGTTTCATTAAATGAAGTATGCAGCTTAAAACATGACATCTCTACTTCTGCCTGTTCTGTATGCATGTCCAGGTACATTGCCATGATCTCTCTTCAAAAGATTGTTGGGACAGACCACAATGCAGTGCAGCGTCATCGGGGAACCATAGTGGACTGCCTGAAGGACCAAGACGCTTCTGTCAAGCGGTAACTTTCACCTCTTCTCCGGTTGTCAGGCACAGCTGTTATTCCACAGATGTTCAGTAAACTTGACATGCTTTTCCAATGTCACCCCCTAATGTGTGTTTTAAAAGCATCTTCTAACATTAATTTGATTTCATCTTTTTCAAATTTAGATATATGTTCAGGAGTATGTTCATATGAAGTGGAGATCATTTTTCCTAAATGTAGGAAACATTTATAGTTTTCTGTTGGTAAATTAATACAGCATCACTTGGCCCTCCTCTAGGTAAAACAAAGCAAGATGATTTAAAATTTAGGGATCTCCCGATCCAATCTCAAAGATCGGTATTGGAGCTAATTAAGGTCTGATCATTTGTTTAGCTGTCACACAGACCTTTTTACTCGTAAAACTTTCATACTTACTGTAGCAACACAACAAGTGCAGCCGTTGTGCTGTCTGTCTCTACTCCACACCGCTGAGCAGGAGGAGAGACAGACAGCGGTGGAGAGCTGACAACAACCACACTCACCACAGCAGCCGCTGCAAGTGCAGCAAAAGCTCTGCAAGCAAAAAGCCAATATGGGTAACTTATTAATGTCAGGTAACTCAAGCAAAGGCTGCAAACACTGGAGGACACTTAAAAGGAGACATAAATTCACTCGGGACAATTTTATAGCATACTTAAAAAATAAAAAAAACATTAGGGAAAAGATGAATGCAATGCAGAGCTATACAGTTGTAAAGCAGATACATTGGATTGATTTTGAATAACTTTAGTGTGCACTCAACTGTATTATCTAGGAAAATACAAGTCTCTGATCGGGACTCGATATCGGCTGCCTCCAATTTCCTAACAGTAATATGACCCGATTAATATAGCAAGTTTTGCTAACTAATATCATAAACATTTATTGAGCCAGACAAAATAATCCCTCAACCTTGCTGCTGCAGAGCATCACAGTTGCCGTAGTGTTTATATTCGAAACAATGGAGGCAGCCGCAGCAACCACTTGGTGTCAAAAAGTCTGTCGATACTGGTATATCAATATGTGATCAATTCACCAGTAGACTGTGATTCTGAATAGAAAATTGTGATAATGTCACTGTTGTGGACAAAATGTCATCCTGTGAGCTGCCTGGTGATTTCCAGCCATACTAATGAGGATGATAATAAATCAATACTTAATTGATCCCAGTGGGTAAATTCTCCACAGGGCCTATTGTAAGTCCACAGAAAGGTCAGATATGAGACAGCCGCCTGTGGACTAACAGGTCAGCGTGTTGCTAAAGGGCACTTCAGTGGGGTGGATTTCATCTTCCTGCTCCAAAACACGTGTGGATGCAGAGAGATTGAAGATGAATTTTCTGCATCATTACAGCTACGTCTGGTCAGTTGAGAAAACACTGACTGACCTCAGCTGTATCCGCAGAGAAATGAACTGTAGTCAGAATTTACATCTTTAATTTGGTGAAGTGAATAAGAAATGGCACCAGACTCACAGTTACAGTTACCAACATTAATCGTCTCTGGCCAACTCTCCAGCCGTGCGTTGGATCTCTCCTTGGCGCTGGTGTCAGCCTCCAACGTCCGTTCCATGATGAAGGAGCTGCTCCTCTTCCTTTCCTCCTGCCCCCCTGAGCTCAGGGCTCAAGCTGCCAGCGGCATATTCAACGCTGCAGAGAGGTGAGTGACACACTGCAGACACCTGTGTGCTCATTACATGACTTTACTACATGTCACATACTGCATCTATGCATGCAGGCACACATACATTATTGTGCACATGAATACATTTAATGTGTTCTGTTGTACCGCGCTGGGATTGGATAATGTGGGCCTTAATGTGATGCAGCTATTTAAGCGTTAAGGCTGTAATAAAAAAACTGTCTGTGTTTAAAATGTACGCGTCTACATGTCTCACTCTGTGTCTGTCTCTCTGTGATACCCGTCTCTCTTAGTGGCACTGTGACGATGAATAGCTCTCTGTGTTTCTACTGTATATCTCCCTGCCACTTGATGCACTTTGGTTTTGGTGTGTGTATAAGTAGTGAGAGGATACAGATGGATTTGTGCGTGTGTGTTACTCACCCTCAAGCACCACTGAGTGTGTGTGTCTCTGTCTCTGTCAGGTATGCACCCTCCCAGCGCTGGCACATTGACACCATCCTGCATGTCCTCACCACGGTAAATACCGACTGAGCCACTCACCCTGCTGCCTCTTAAACTTACTCACAACTCTTCTTAAGTTGTCCACTGCCATCATTAGTGCACTAGGCCTTACCGTAGATACCAGGGCCCACGTCTATGAAAGCTGTGTATGCATTGAAATGCTAAGTACATTTTTAAATTTGATTTTCCTCTGAAAAGAGACCGTGTACCTCTTCTGTACAAACTTTCATACACGCAGCCCCAGGTCCTGAAAAGGTCATTTATTCTGGACTAATGCTTTCCATTTTGCACTCTGTTACATCCTTACTTTTCATTTTGTGCTCCATCTAGATAGGTGAATACATTAAAAGCTTACACTAATCCTTTGCACTTTGCTACCAAAAAGATATGTGTTGATAGGGTGGAGCAATGGGGGAGATGTGGCATGAATTAAAGCTTATTCCATATCCTTTATAATGTATATGAAAAGTGACAGAAACGTCCGCTAAGTGAGGTCATTGTGTCTGGGAGGAAATGTAGGGCGACCCAAATACTTGGGCCAGCTGTCTGGCTAATGGAGTTTGCTGTGTGTGAGTGTGCGCTTGTGTTTGACTCTGATCTCCACTCTGCCAGGCAGGGGGCGACGTGAGAGATGAAACGGTGCCCAACTTGATCCAGCTTATCACCAACGCCTCAGAGCTGCACTGTTACACCGTCCACAAGCTGTACCGGGCTCTGCTCACTGACATCTCTCAGGTGTGTGTGTGTGTG